CCCCCCCCTGCTCCTCCTCCCGCCCATTTTGGGCCCCGCTCAAATTTATTGAACCTAAGGATGCGGCGGCGGCGGCGGCGGCGCTGCACAACACAATCATTTTTTGGCGGGCTGCGAAGGTAGAGAAGTTATAAAAGTTTACTTGTTGGAGTAATCTGTCTGCACAAGAGACTAAGATGCAGACAGGAAGTGCGGAGAGCACGGTTGCCCCAGGGGATTCATTACCGGGGTCACGGGAGCCGAGCAGCAAGACAAGTTTTAACTCCTTACAGGAGTTCTGGGATTATCACCAGGTGCCGCATCGAATAAAGCGAATTCTAATCGCGAACAACGGAAATGCGGCAGCCAAGTGCACGATGTCTCTCCGGTCATGGTGTCTGAAGACGTTCTCGAATGAAAGTGAGTTGTCACTTTTATGTGTGTGTACAAACACGGTAGCGTGTGCGACAAGTATGTGTGCAGATGAGTTGGAGTTGGTGGGTATGGCGACGCCTGAGGATGAGCAGTCGAACGCGGACTATATTTCTAAGTGCGATTACATAGCGAAGGTGCCGGGTGGGAGCAATAATTACAATTACGCGAACATCGATCGGATCCGCGAGATTGCAGCAGAATGGAAGTGTGAGGCTGTGTGGCCGGGTTGGGGTCACGCGAGCGAGAACGAGGAGTTACCTCGTGCATTAGAGGAGGAGGGCGTGGTATGGGTGGGTCCCCGTGCGAGCACAATGTCTGCATTGGGCTGTAAGATAGGGAGTACGATAATTGCACAGAGCATTGGTGTCCCGACGGTTCCATGGAGTGGGAGTGGTGTGCAGGCAGAGTGTGTGTCGGGTACTTGGTGTGTGTCTGAGGAGGCGAAGTTGCGTGCGTGTGTCGGTTCGGGTGAGGCTTTATTAGAGCTAGTAGATTGTGGTGCCCTGGGGGGCTTCCCGCTTATGATCAAGGCTGCCTTGGGTGGTGGTGGTAAGGGCATTCGAGTTGTCCACGCGCGGGAGGAGGCGCTGGCCGCCTTCCGTCAGGTCACCATGGAGGTCCAGGGCTCCAGCGTGTTCGCCATGCAATGTTTGACTCGCTGTCGACATCTGGAAGTCCAAGTAATTGCAGACAGATACGGACATACACTTGCGTGCGGCACACGTGATTGCACCATCCAACGACGACACCAGAAGATTATTGAAGAGGGCCCGCCAACATGTTGCGACCGGAGTGTCCTGGATGCCTTACAAAAGTGCGCAGTCGATCTAGTCGCGGCTGTGCGTTACGTCAATGCCGCCACTGTTGAGTTTCTTTACGACGCAGAAAAGAATCATTTCTACTTTTTGGAGGTGAACGCCCGTCTGCAAGTGGAGCATGTAGTCACCGAAATGCTCATCGATGTCAACCTGCCAGCGGCCCAGCTTCAAGTCGCCATGGGTCTGCCACTGGCACATATCGCAGACATCGCAGACTTTTTGCGACGTGGCCCTCCCGTGGCTCCAAGACATTGTATAGCGGCACGAATTACCGCAGAAGATGCTGAGAAAAATTTCCAGCCGACCAATGGCACAGTACTCGAACTACACTTCACTTCCAGCCCTCACGTCTGGGGCTATTTCTCCATCGGCTCCCCACCCTCCCGCGTACACCAGTACTCAGACTCCCAATTCGGCCACCTCTTTGCCACCGGACGTGATCGAGAAAGTACCCGAAAGGAAATGTTGCTATCACTGAGAAGACTTGTAATTCGTGGCGAAATTAGCACGAACGTAGTTGCTTTGCAACAAATATTGGAGAGCGGGGATTTCATTCGAGGTCATACACACACTCAGTGGCTCGAACAGTCACGTGTATGCTCCCATCCAGCCGGTTCCCATGTCGCCGTCCCTAGGTCTACATCTGCTTCTGCCCACGGACCTGCTCCTGCCCACGAGCCTGCTCCTGCCCACGACCCTGCTCCTGCTTCTGCCCACGTTTCTGGGCCCAATGGCACGGGGGTTGGTGAGGGCGTATTGAACTTCGTACTATACGCGGGTGTGTATAAAGCGGCTTGTCATTTCCGGAGGGATGCACAGGCATTTGTAGGGAAGATAACTCAGGGCCAAGTACCACCAACATTAGAGGATGTAGCAGTGTTCGACTTAGTGGACAAACATAACGTAAAGTATCGCTTGGAATGTTGTACTGCAGGTCCTAATACAATTCGCGTCTATTTAAATGACAGTTGGACTGACGTAGAATACAATGATCTTAGCAACAATCGTGATGGTGACCAATTTACCTCCTGGTATTTTCTTGTTGGTGGTGTAGATGGTCGTCATCGTCGTGTAGGTTATCAAGAAGATCGCACTCAAGATCTATTGAAAGTCACTGTTGGGCATCAGACGTGCACATTCACCAAAGAGAAGGACCCATCACAATTCCGCGCTCCATACTCAGCCAAACTCGTACGATGGCTTGTACCCAATGGTTCTACTGTTCAAAAATCCACACCTCTAGCCGAAATTGAAATGATGAAAATGTACCTACAACTACACTCAGAATCTGCCGGCATAATCACACATGCACTCTCAGAAGGAGCCGTCTTCCAAGCTGGTGATCTACTAGCCACCCTGCAATTAGACGACGGCCAGGTCTTTGAACGACCAAAATTCTTCAACGGCAAATTCCCCAACCCCGCACCTTGAACAACTGTCTAGTCCACGGACAG